TAGTCGTTTGTTACATAGGCAGCCTCAGGTTGTGCCATAGCCATGTGGCTAGATGCATAAATAGAATAAAACAAAAAAAATAAAAAAAAAAAAAAAAAAAATCTCGCCATTGCGAGGGGCGCATATAGCGATCGCACAATCCCCAGACTCCCTATCACAATATGGCGTTTGCCGTTCAGGCTTCGGCGACCAGTAGCCACACAAATATAATCTTTGTACAGCTGCCCATTGTTCTCAAGCAACCAGGCTGGTCTGCCGATGGCCTAAAGATAAACAGTCCTGCCAGGCCAAGTCAAAATAAAACCGACCTAGGACACTTAGGTCTAGCTCTCATAAAGACTATAGGCTTTGTGGGCATCCCAGAGTGCTGGAGGACTTTCACTATGCCCGGTGTAGTTGGTGAATACTCTGTCAATACGTAGCAGATATCTTATGATGTCTGGTGATATCTCAAGATGCCTACCAATATCTGAAGCTACCTCTGGCTGGATTATTTCTCAAACACAACGAGAAATAAAAAAGCATTACGACAAGCCCAAAGATTTGGGTACCGCAGATGCTAGATAATCTCATATCACTCAATATATTCCTAAAACGTATAGTAGATAGATTGCTTGCGTGTTAAAAATTATTTTTCACTTACAAAGTTGTTCCCCCCTATCACTTCAACATCACCGCGATCCTCACATTCTCCAAGTAGGCAGGCTCCATCCCCACTAATTCCGGAACCCAAATCATTTCTTTTCCTGTGGTCCTGATGATCCCGGTGAGCACAACAATTTAAGCGAAAATATGAACTCATACTCCAGATCTAGGCTCAAATCTACCTACACCCAGGGATCCTTCAGCCCCAACTCCATAGAATAATAAATAATCTGAACCCACGAGAAATTTTCGTGAAGATAACATATCACCCATTATGCAAATGCACATACAGGGGCTAGTGATACGTACACTGGCGTTCTTTTTTAATCTGAAATACACCCCCAATAAGGGCAATCACAATCAATCACTCGTAATCCTGGAGATACCCGCAGAGCGGCCGGGCGCGGCTAGGTGAGCCCCAGAAGCCAGCCCACAGTCCGGCCAGGCCGAGGCCATACAGCGCCGAGATGGTAAACATATTCTTATGATACCATTAATCCGAGATTGAAGTGGGTATCAGGTCTGATGACTAGATCGCGCTTAAGAGCAGCAGCCGGCTCTAGAAACCATGACTATCCCACCCCTCCAACCCGTAATACCATTCCATCCGCTATTCGTCTTTCCTACCACAATTAACCTATCGCTCCTCCAACCCGATCACAGTAGCCATCTAAAACCGCTTGACAAGTTCTCCTAGCACCAACCTCGACGCAAAAGATATCTGCCCTGTGCAGGGCGCAGCCTGAAATGCGCCGGAGAATGAAGAGATCATTTTCTCCTCCAACTTGGAACTCCCAGAAATGCCGAGGAAGCTGTGATTATGAATACAGCCATGTCTTTAAGATGTCGCGTGAAATCTGCAAGCATTCATTTCTAATCCCACCCACAAGAATATAGCATCTCGCCATTGGCGAAATCTCCTTTGACACTCCATAAGAGTGTGTCTCACTTCTGTGCGGGCAAGTTAGTGAGGGTTAACCTGACTTTAATTCCGATGCAGGCCGGAGAACCCACCCGAAAAACCAAGCTTATTACCAAATAACCCCGCGGCCCTTAGGGGATGTCGGCGCCACGATCACCCATGGTCCCGGCACTGGACTGCAAAATTATAACCCACCCCGCTAATCAAATGGTTCTTGCTAAAGCTCACAAGTAGACTAAAGATCATAGCGAGCACTTCATGAACCGGCAGAATGCCTCGTTCCGAGCCCGGTCTCTTCTGTAGAGAATATAACCAACAACAGTTCTGGGCGGCGGTGTCTGTAGACCACCCCGGACCCTATCTTGGTGAACGCTTCTACAGTGCTATCCGTTATTCCTGTTGAGACACGGACAATAATAAGAGGTTTGGGGGGCAAACGGCTCTCTGGGTATTGTAATCTATGACATCATACTCCACAAGCACAAGCGACGCCCGCGGCATCAATTATACTCCGGTAATGCCACACTCCAAAATTCCGGCAAGTTCCATAATAGCAACTGAATTTCCGAATACACGCCACAAACTAGCCTGTTATACCGCTGCCGCCAAACACAGTCCAAAAAAGAAAGTAATACTTTAGTAGCCATACCCGCGATATTCCTCCCCATACCCTTCCCCGCCCACACCTCTGCGGCCATACCCTTGTCCCTCACCCTCATCAGTCCTGCGAGGTGGCCCATATTCAGAAGTGTCAGTATCGCGACTGCCGTACGAGTGACCGGAGCGCCCGTAGGAAGGCTCCTCAATGCCACCACTAAAGCTAGAGCGCCGGTAGGTGGAGCTGCTCTCGCCCTGGCCCATTCTTCCGTGAGGTGATACTTCTTCGCCACGGCCAGATCTGCCAGGTGGAGCGGTCTCCCGACTACCCCCTGATCTAGTGTAGGAACCACCCCCCTCAGTGTGACCAAATATTCCATAGGAGGAAGGGATAGCCTCCTCACCACAGACTGCGCGCCCGTAGGAAGAAATTTGCTCCTCACGACCGTAGGAGGTAGTGTTTTCTCCGGAGCTACGGGGATAAGACGGAGACTCGTTATCATATCCGCTACGTCCAGCGCCGCTACCACCACCATAGGAAGACGTCCCAGTATGCTCATGGGAACCTGCCCGACCCTGGGGGTTATCGCTATCACGGGTGTAGGAGGAGCCGTAAGAGCCTCGGGTATTAGATCCATATCCTCCACCGGCACTCCCGTAACTACCGTTGTCACGTCTGGAAGAGTCATAAGAATCGGCCCCCTGGTTCTGGCGATGGGAGGAGTAACCGGTCTCAGTACTACCATAAGACGAAGTCCCCGGATCAATTACCGAGCCATAACCTCCACCGGCAGTGGAGGCTTCTTCGCGATCGCGGCCGGAGGTGCCGTACGACGATTCCCTACGGCTAGCTTCATCCCCACCAGAACTAAATTGTCGATTTCCACTAGAGCGGGAAGCCGGAACGCCACCCCCCGGAATACCCTCGTGACTATGACCACATCCGCCAGGTCCTGGATTTGGGTCCTCGCCCTCGTGATTCTTTCCATCTCTGACGCCTTGTTTACTGAGAGCCTCTTCCAGGTGGTGCCTTTGGCTCTCATCTTTCTCCTCCCACCATTTCTTCACGGCCTCAAACATAGCATGCTGCCCTGCCCTGTTCTCGTCTTTGAGGGCCGGGTGATGGAAAACTTGAAGTATATCGTCGATGATTTGGCGGGTATCCTTGTTGCTATCGTCCCAGGCGCTAACAACTAAAGGAACGGCAAATGAAATTGTAGCCGAAGCAACTCTCCCGGCAACGGGATTGAGAATATTTGTGAAATGATCCTTCGAAAGGATAGAGTGAGTCGGATCCGAGCAGTTTTCGTCCTCGAAAACCTCAAACTGGGCCTTCTCAGAGGCAGCCAGAACACCACCGGAACCGGCAGCCAGCTCAGCCTTAGTCCTCTCGAGAATGGGTTTGATGTAGGGTGCGAGGATGCTGAAGACATAAATTTGCATAGCACCAGTAAGATTTTCCATCAATGCGCTAGCTCCAGGGATCTTATCGATGCCAGTTTGGAAAGCTTTGATAACCTTATCATGGAACTCCAAAATGGGGAAGATATCCTTTACAGTTTGTTCCGTCTGGCGCTTCATCTCTTCCATGTCATATCCGGCGACATCCATCTTGGGTTGAATTGAGGTTCGTTCCAATTTTTTAGCATTAGCGTTTTGTTGTAGTCGATCTGCTTCCGACCCAAAATCCCCACCAATACCGAGGAGAGCCCATGGGATATTGTCAAGTATACCCTTCAGGGTAGAAGTGGCTTCGCTGGACCTGTTGGGATCAGACGCACTGCTGAGTTTACTGTCAAGATCCTGGACCTCGGATTGCACCATTTTGTCCGATACCTCACCTAAAACACTGTGAAGGAAATCCGTCATTCCAACTAAAGACAAAGAAGCAGGAATTAGCTTGCAGTTAGTAAGGGTTGAGGGAATCAAATAAGGAGTTGCATCGCACATGTTCCTGTGACTACCGGGAAAACCCTCTTTCCATTGACTTCAATCTCAGTTTGCTCCCCAACATGGGGATAAACCTGGGGCCCCAATTCTCTCAGAGCCAGCTCGCAGTAGTTAGAGTGAGCCGCATAGTCTACAATCTACCCAGTCAGCGTCACGCAGAATGAAGTTTAGAGGGCGTGACACCTTCCAAGCAGTGCAGCCCAGTTCCCAGGAGTCTCAACGCTTCATACAGATCCACATCTCTGCCGTCCCTGCCATATGCTCGGCCCTTCTCAATAGCTTCTTCAAACCTCCTCCGAACAAGTCCGGCAGAGGTGTCCATACCACGATCCTCGGATGCGATGTAGGCTTTAAGTCCGGTACGCTCATCCACAGCCAACTCCTTGCCCTCGTCAACGGGGCCGCGTAGGCGGCAATCGTATTTGCGGGCATCCTCATTACCGGCGTAGCCCTATAGGAAATTGAGGGTTAGATATTGCATGATAAACAAGCAGCAAAGCCTACGGGGGAAACCTTTGGGTTGTCAATATGCTCCTCTGGGCGATAACATCCAAGGCGCTCCTCGGTAACCTCAAACTCTCCGGTCGCAAAACCAAAAGTAATAAACGACAAGACCCACAACTGCCACGTGTCCCTGTCCGTCAGCCAGATTCTCATTAAAAGCTTAAGTTGACAGCAGCTTACCAAAACGCGGATGGCATCCTTCGGCAGTTGCTTCAAACCACCAACATCAACAGCCTGCGAATAATCTCTGAGCCAATTTCCCTGCATTCCCCGTTAGCCCAAGGAATCCCATTCCCGCGATCAGCCATGAGCCAACAACACGTACAAAGTAAACCCTTTTGACATTCAACCTGTCAAACTTTTTGCTCCCGGCTTGACTCAAGAACAGCTCCAGGAGCGCCTCCTCGATATCCCCGTGACGCCAATTTTTCCCAGCAACCTGAGAAACGTTGACAATATTCCCAGCCCCAAAAGCCCAGGCCGGGGTAGCGAACAGCAACACCGTCCCGATGAGTAGTAGTGCGGATAGCGGAGTGGAAGGCATTCTTTAAAAGTGGAATTGCGATGAGAAAGGAAAGTGGAGAAGAAAAATGGGAATAATGTAAAGGAGGAGGCAGAGGGGACCAAGTAAACTAAGTTAGACCTTGTACTCGAGTAGACCCCAATGTTCCCCCTTATTTCTGCTCTACCCTCTCTCACCACCGACACTTCCTCAGTTATGCCCGCGTCATCCCATACCTCCCCCTATGATACTCCCAAGGGTTGAAATCGCGCATCCGCAACTCCAATCCCGCCAATCACCAAGCCGAATGGGTCCCATGACGTTACTCCCACACTGGCTCTCGACAGATGGCGCAAGACCAATCCGCTTGGCATACCCGTGCGGGGGTTAATCTTCGGAGATCCCCCATAAGTACTCGAGTACTGTATTCCAACTCAATTAACCCTGTTTCTCCCCTCACAGAAATACGGTACGTACTCGAGTATCGTACGAGCTCGAGAAGGTTACAGCAGGCGCACCCAAAAAAAACACATGGTGCCCGAGTAGACACCCCCCTCACTTAGAACACTAAACTCGAACAGGAAAGCTTCCTGAGGTAAACCTGATAAACCGTTGCAACCAAAGTGATCGGGGGCGATTCTCCATAATAGAATTCTAACCAATCAGCAACTGTCCGAGTAGCGAGCGTCTGAGTGGCTTGCGGTTTCCTTATCCGGCAGTTTACGGTACGGTAGACCAAACTTGTTAATTGCTCTGGAGTAGTATCATACGAGTAGGTAAACGTGGCTTAGCGCCAAGAATGAAGAGGATTTATCGTGATGGAGTACTCGTTAAATTTTCCCTCACAGATGCCACCCAGATGACCTGCAGCTCGCCTCCTACATGTCTCTAGATCCGCTTCTAACACCCCACTTGTGTTGAACAGTCACGAGTGTCCTCAGCTCCGATCTCTACACTTCGCTCCCTCTGCAGACCAGGCATCGGATCGAAACAAAAAAAACCCCGTACCCTTACTCCACGAGGGTTCGTTTTGTTCTTCAGTTTTGACAGGGATTGGGCAAGATATTTCAGCCTAATCCCAGACCGTCGTTTTTGCCCATAGCAAAGCACTTCACCGGCACCATAACGTCAAAGATGATAGACAAGATGAATAGGAGGAGATGCAACCTCGTTCCACAATGAATCCTTATCCTCAACTACCCCTCCATGAAAGAGACTGCTCTGCAAGAAAGAAAGACAAAAGAAAAACACAGAAGGGGAAATTCCGGCGATGCTTGTCCTCTATCCTCCGTGTTTCCCCTTTCTCCTTTTCCTCCTCTCAACCCCTCGCTAACCACTTTTCTATCTTTGTCATTAATGGAAGGGGGTAGAAACTTCCAAATAGGAAAACAAAAGTCGGACAACGACCATCGTCGTCATCTCTCATGAGTGTCCTCCAATTCCCTGACAGTACGGCTCTGAATGATCTGGCCAGGGAAGCGTAACGGTATTAGCACGTGAGACAACCTCTGGTATTATACTACTCGTAAATTTACTCCTGTCGTGCGACGAGCACTGCACTAGTACCATACAACCCCAGAACCCCAGTACGGTATTCGTAGACTATGATACCGTAAAAAAAACAGAGGGAAGAAGTCCGAATAATATGGCCCTTGTAGCACCTGTGCCTAGCCTGGGCTGGTGCCTCTCTCCGATGTTTTGATCGGCCCAAACCAGGCTCGGAACGTCTTGTAATAATGCTGCTACAACTAGTGCTAGTGTTGGACGCAGATGGGATTGGCGGATTTGGTATGGTGCGGCAACGTCAATTTTCTTCCGAGGGTTCCTAGCGTTTGGCAACTAACGATACTTATTGCCGTCAAGAATGGAAACGGAAAAGTTACACTCCAGAGAATGATAGCCCTTGGCATTTGCAATAATGTCACGCGAGATCTTGTTTATCGGACCAGAAAATCACGGTAACTTTTACCCGCTCTATCCTTCCCATACATTCAGGGAAACCCACGAGTTACCGTACCGGTATCCAAAGGTCCACAGTGAGTAGAGCAGCGACATGTAATCTGTAAATTTATATCCCGACCTCCCCAGGATTGACGCCGAATACTAATACTTCCATGTCTAACGTATGATACACACACACACCCTCCCCTCCCCCCGCATATCCCTTACATATACAAGAACCGCCAACCAACTACCGCTCGACCCTCTCCGTTTTCATACGAGCCCAAACCAGCTGTTCCACCTCCTTGACCTCCAGCCCCATCCTCCTCATCTGTTTCCAGCAATACCAAATCGCCTCCACACTCTTGTTCTTCTGGTCCCAGTCCTCCCCCCCTTCGAACCTGGTACCACTAGCCTTCGGCCCGTGCTGCTCCTTCCACTGCTTCCGTCTGCGCTGTAACTCCTCCCACATGGCGTAGCGGTCCAGCGCCTGTATCTCGCGCAGCGCCTGGTGGAGCACCGTCCTGATGGAGAGCAAATTTCCCAGGCCGTCTCCGTCCCCACGGTGGCGCGGGCGGTCACTCCAGAAGCGCTGGCAGAGATGCATGCCAACGTATGAGCCGCGGCGGTGCGTGGCGCCACGGAGGAGGATGTTGAAGACGTTGGTATCCATGCCTTGGGTTGTGTTCGCGTCGACGCCGAGGTTGTCCAACGCCCATTTTGTCCGGTAGGGGTCCACGGTGCGGACTGCGTGGTCGAGGACAGCGATCCAGGCATCGCGCGAGATGCCGACTCCCGGCTTTACTCCAGGGATAGCCTTCGTCGGTGTGTAAGGGGGTAGATGTGTTTCAGGGGGGTCTCCGAAGGATACTTTATTGGGATCCCCCGGTGGGGGTGGGTATGGATCCGGGGCGGTCCCGGTGGCAACTTCGACGAGGTGGTAGGCTGCGTTCATGTCCCTGCTAAGCTCGTTTTGGACCAGTAGGCCGATATCCACAGCATCTGGTTGCACGCCGTGGTTAGTCATAAAGGTTAGCACTCCGTGGGCAAGTTCGACTCTTCTGAAGCGCAGATATGCATTTAGCAACGATGAGAACATAGCGTGCGTCCCGCCGGTCTCTTTAACCGCTGTTGCGACCAATTCCAGTAACGGGTACTTATCTGTCGTAACCGCAAGCATCATGATCGCAGGAGCTATGTATGCACTTGCGTACATCGAGTTCGGGATTACCGTTCGGCCACCAGGGTCGGGCTTCAATAAATTCAATGCATCCTGTAACTTCCGTCCCCGCACGAGCGCCATGAGGTACGCCCCCAAGATCCATTCTGGGTGCGAAACAGCCTGAGACCTTCCGACTATATCGGCCCAGATCAGCATCGCGCCGGGAAGATTGTCCCGCTTGATAGCTTGGTGAAGGGCAGTGTAAGTGATCTCGAGTGATTTGATATGATGTCCTAGAGCGTCCTCGATCCCAGCGAGGCATTTCGTCAAGCTCGCTTTCTCCGCTAACACGATGTTGGGGTATCGTAGAACGCGGGCGATTGCACTGCGGCGGATGAGACCAGGGGGGATCATTCGCGCGATGCATAACGCGCAGCTGGCGATTCGCTCGACGCCCCTACCCTCGGCATCAGAGTTTAGCAACGCGTTGATGACTCCCGGTACAACCCAGTCCGGAAGCGTGAACGGGAGTGTCTCTATGTCGGGTCTCCTGAGCGAATACCCCTCTAATCCCCATTGCTCCACAATACCCACCTTCTTGTCCACGTGCAACGCACGAATCCAATTGGGACTGTAATCTTTGGGGGAGACCTCAGCGTAATTGACAAAGTTCCACCCCTGTTTGTTCTTAGGCAGCAGCCTATCCAAGAGATATGTACCCACGAGGCCGAACCCACCCTCGCACGCCAAGGCCATAACAAGCTCCAGCCAGGTTTCCCTCTCGGCGTAGCACGCTCCCCTGTCCGGAGCTCCGCCCTGGGCCCTGGGCCTTTCTGTTATGTCTCTGGTTCCAGAGCCCCAGGTCACCAGGCACTGTCGTGCCCGCGGAACTTCCATCCCCCGGTGTTTCCCATAGACCCCTTTCTCCTCCGCCTCTTGAGCTATGATCGCCTCCTGAGCCCGCCACACAGCGTCGGACATGGAGGCCATTATCCTTGGTCGCAGGAAATGGAGGCGGGGGTACTGGGTAGCAGAGTATACGGTCATAGGTACCAATCCGGCGGTGTGTATATAACCCAGGATCTGCCTAGCGGTGGGCAGGAGGTCAGTATACTCGTTCGGAATTTCTCGCGCAGATTCCGTCCCGGAGGTTTTATCCCGAGCCAACTCCTCCGCCCTCTTCTCCGCCCCCCCCTTCGAAACCACGGCTTTCCCAGCCCTCTTCTGCAACGTGGTCCTTTCCATACGTTCCCGAACCTCCCGCTCCTTGCCTGCCCGGACAACCATCATGCCAACCGACCCAAGGACAATACTCAAACCCCTCCGTCGGCGTTCCACATCCCGTTTAATCCTCCTATCAATGGCCCAAATCCCCGCCTTCCCCGCAATCCCCGCAACATCCCGTCCCTCACCTTTCCTTATTCGCGGCTTCAACTTCCCTCCGCCAAGGGCGGTATATACGACCCCCAGAAGTGGATCAGCTCCCTCATCAAGACTGTCATAACCCCTCCCCATGGGCTCTAACAAGGTCCGGACAATCCACACGGCATCCCTCCACCTCCTACGTAGCACCAGTTCCGTTATCACATCAACTTTCTCCGCCCGTGCCGCTTCGAGGAGGACCAACAGCCCGCTAACGTTCACGTGATCAACTTTCCATCGGAGGAAGGGCCCTTCCTTTAACTGCTTTAACCATAAGGCGGGTCTATCGGGAATGGCTTTGACGCCAAAGTAGTCTCGGTATTTTGAATGGGAAAGGGTATCACCGTACGGAGGGAGTGGGGGGAGCGGTAAAGGACGAGTCTTGGGATCGTTGGGATCGGGTGGGAATCTGTAGTAATTTAACGGAGGAGCAGAGTATTTGAATGATTCGCCAGGATGAGCCCCATCCTCCTTCCCTCCCTCCTCTCCCCGTTTCCCATCTCCATTCGGATCCTCGGTGTCCGTTGTCGAGGGTTCATTGACGGTGGAGTACTTTCTAGGGGTGTAATATCCAGAGCGGTTCTATTATCATTTTTACTCGCAATTCGCCATTCGTAAGCTCCATCGATGTTTCCCTCAAGAGTGGTGAATCGAGAAAGGGGGTACCATACCCTCTTCGGCGCAGCTGTCGTAAACGGCCATTGAAGCACGGCCATGCACCCAACAGCGAAGGAGGGGTATAGAAACGGACATAGCGCCTGTGCTCGATGTTTCGGGACCGATCGAGTGAATTGTGAGAGCATGACATTGAGGATGGATTATAGAAGTTGGCGGCGAAATTCTTTCCGGAGCGGTAACAGAAAGGGTTTATTCCGTTGCCTTATGCCTTACGATTTGCCACGAGGTGGGTGCTAGCGAGTTTTTTTTTTTTCTTCCTCTCCTCCTCACTTTCCCCGTTTGGCGGCTCTGCAGAGGGGTTAGGACTACTCGGCCAACGATAAAGTATTCATACGCTTGGCACGAGGAATAGTGCTGATAATGCCAAGGTGCCCGAATACTTTATCCATGGGGAGGTACGAGGGCTCTAGTGGGGTATTTTGTGATTATGTAATCAAAAGACAGCTTGAAAGCACACGACTCGGTTGCGCTACCCGCCAGCCGCTGCTCTCTTTCCTTTGCATAAGTTTGGGTTGCAGGCTACAGGTACAGTACTCGTACAAGTATGATACTGCCAAAAAATTTCAGACTGTGCTCATGATACCGGCAAGTTATCTGCTTAATTAATCTATTCCTTCCACGTGAGCAGCCAATTTTTGCTATTTATTTATTTATTTACCTATTTATTTATTTATTTACTTCTCGACTTACCCTATTTACATATTTGCCTATTTACCTGCGACGGGGGGCCTTGGAAAGGGAGGCTGGATTCCGGTATCACAGTTTAATTAAGCCGGGGATTATCGCAGTCACCATCTTCACCTTCACCTCCACCTCCACCTTCACCTTTGTTATGATTCTTCCCCCGTGTCTCGTTACTTGTACCAGTACTATCGCCTCCTTGTGGTCGCGTTCTCCCCTTTTGGCGTGACCCACAACACGCTAAAACCATAATCAAAGACGTCATTCGCCCACCTGAGACGCGTTATCTCCTTCACCCTCGCCCTCCCTCCCACCCATCAACCTCCTTCTGCCCTCCATCTTCTCTCTCCCCTACCTGTACTTCTTTCCTCCCTCCTTCCCTCTCTGCTCTTAACTCCCACACCGCCCCAACACAACACCACCGCCAAAGAAAAATAAGTCAGCCAAACAATGGTCTATCGGGTCGAAGTCTCCCCCAACGGCCGTGCGAGCTGTAAAGCTACTACCTGCGGTAAAGCTAAAATCGGGAAAGGCGAACTCCGTCTGGGGACATGGGTCAAAGGGCCCACTTTCGAGTCCTGGTCCTGGCGCCACTGGGGCTGCTTCACTCCTCAACAGATTGCTAATGCGCGCAAGGGATTGTTGCCGGAGGGCGAAGAGGATGAGGAGGGGAAGGAAGTGGACATGAACCTCTTTGATGGATGGGAGGAGTTGCCGGATGAGCAGAAGGACAGGGTTAAGATTGCGATGGATGTGGGGCATGTCGATGATGAGGACTGGAAAGGTGATGTTGGCTTGAATCGCAAGGGCGCAAAGAAGGCTGTTGGGAAGATCAAAGGAAAGGTTGCAATCGCGGCAAAGAGGGTTGGGAAGCATGATGACGACGAGGAAGAGGAAGCTGTGGAGTATGTTGACCTGCAATTGCCTATAATACCGCAAAGCACTAACACCGTGACAGAACTGACAAAGAACCTGTCCCCAAAAAGTCTGGCAAAAAATCCTCTGTAGCTTCCACCACCGCCACCACGCCCAGGAAGCGTGCTCCCGCCAAAAGATCGACCCCAACCCCGACCCCCCCCGCATCTGCATCTCCCGAACCTGTCAAATCCAAAAAACCCACCCCTTCCAAAAGGTCCACCAGGCCCGCTGCCATTGCAGAACCCATTCGTCCCCGTTCCTCCCGCTCAACTGCCACAACCCCAAAGAAGTACACCGAAGTCACTGAATCCGCCGATGACGACTCCCCCCCCGCCGCTCGCAAGTCCCGCGTAACCACTGCTCCCGGCAGAGACACGAAGTCTGCAAAAGATGGGAAGAGGAATGCTAGGAAGGGGAGAGGCAAGAAGGCTGGCGGTGATAGCGATACCGAAGATGAAGCCGCAGAGATGGTGTTGCATGCTGATGATGACATTGAGGAAGATGCTACTGACTTGCCCCCGCCAAAAGCGCAATCAAGAGGCAGAGAAGGCGGGAGAAAACGCAAGGCTGCAGCAGTTATGGATGATGCACAGAGTAGAGTTGATGAAGAGGAAGAGTACGCCCTCTTGGCTATCAGACCTAGAAATCAAATTGAGACTAATTTGAGCATGGGAAATAGGCAACGCAAGAAGAAACGCACTAAAGCAAAGCCCGCCCCCACTAAAAAGGAACAGTCGGCCAAGACCAAGAAGGCTACTACCACCCCGGCCTCTGACAAGAAGACCAAGACTAAGGCCAAAGACTCTGCAAAGGAAACCCCAGAAGCGAAGGATAAGGGCGAAGCCGGGAAAAGTATTTTCGGTGGAGAGTAGGCAATATCTACTCCTCCTCCCTCCCGAGCAGGAGGGAAGGGTCTGATGGACTTAAGCGGATATAGCGTTGAATCACCGGGATTGTTTACGGAATACCTTTCTTTGTTTCTTCCCTTTGCTTTTTTTTTGCTTGCTTATCTCGGCTCATTCGCTTTGGTCTTTTCTATTCTATCGTCTACCATTTTCAGGTTGTTTTAAATTGTTACCGTAGCTACTCACAAGCACAAGTTCACAATCGGTATGCCACAGCTAGTTTGTTAGTTTGCTCCTACTTAGTCGAGATTCATATAAAAGTTATTTCCCATCACCGCCATCGCACGCATATCGCTCTGGTAATAATAAAAACAGCGACATTCCTCTTCCATTGGAAGTTTCCCGCCATTCGATGCCTATGAGGCGCACTAGAGGACTTCCCGTAAGTCTATACCGCCAGGATAGAGCGGAAATTTCTAAATATTGTACTCGCACAATAGGAGAGGGTGTTTAAGATCTGTAGTTAGGAGGGGGGGTGGACCAGCCCTCCCTTCTATTCAAGTCATGTACCGGTATTGCCACGAGACAGAGATGTCGGAAACTCTAACATTACCTTCGCCACAACTCCGCTTAACCGATCTTGCACCAGCACTTTGGTTCATCCCCAATCCAGTAAGAGGAGAAATTTTCACCGATCTTGCTGTCTACGGGAAGCCACACCTCCTATCCACCTCTCTATTCCAAATAGACCTTGCTCCCCATAGACTTACGGGAAGTCCTCCATTCTCATGGTTTGAATGCAACTTTTTGTCTAAGTTAATCCGTTCTCACCCGCTGACCAGAAGAGCCCAATTTGTGGCCAGATTAAAAAAAGAAAGAAACCAGTACTGTTGCACATTTCCAGTCTTGGCGCTCAGGCACACTATTACTTACCCCCTTGCCCTTCTCTTTTTTCTTTTTCTTTTTTCTTTTCTTAACTCGGGGATAGATGATACCAAAAATCCCAGCTCAAGCGATAGTCCTATCAACCAATTTGAATCCAACATGCCAATTACCCGTGGGGGACACCAGAAATAATAGTGAATCTCAAGACATTCAGGGGGCCCGAGCGCCAAAGCTCCGTTCTTGAAGTGTCCGGCTACCTATCTGGATGAAATTGGTGGGTATGAGAACGGCCTCTCTTTCCTTTCTCTCTCTCTCCCTCTTTTCTTTCTTTTTTCAGAACGGTTTCTACCATAGAACCCCTTAGTTCGAGAAACGGGTTCCAGGTCCTTCGATCATTTTTTAATGCAACCCCCCCCTCATTACGGCACTGTGTACGAGTACAATAACTCACTCCGCCTCCTCATCCTGTTCTTGCTTACTGAGGTGGAAGAAACCCCCTCTTGAATTCCCATTTTCAGAAGCCAGGATTCAAATTCCCCTTGCCCTTATAGCCCCCCGGATTCGATCACCAAAGGCTTTCTTTGCGGCATTGGTATAATCCGGTACCCGTACCAGTACAGCTGTGCTCCTACTCAGTAGACGTATGCAAACGTCCGAGCCCGGTAAGTCCCGCACAGGGATTTCCGGACCCCACCTCTCTTTCATCACTTTTTTTTTGTTTTTCCTGCAACGGTCCAGATGAAGGCGGGCTTTTTTGTGGTGCCGCAAACTCGCAAAGCGGTCATTTCCTTATATTAAATTTGCCAGGAAACGTATGCCGGTGATGACCGGATAATCCTGCCAGGCTTGGGCTCGGTGCCGTGTCGACGCCAGTGCCGATACCAGCTCCATGGCGAGGGAGAGTATCGTATCTTCTAAGTTGCGCAAAAATCATCACAGGAGAAAAAAAGAATTATTTTTTTCCTCCGGAGATCGCTCCCAGATGATTAGGGATGTTGTGTGATGTGACCATGAACGCGTGCTGGTGCTTGAACCCGTTACCGGTAGACAACCATACCACAGCAACTGCATTCCACCTTCCCAATGCTATTCGTTAGATGAGCTGATTCAGGTGCAGACCGGGATCTAGTCTGAACTTGTGAACTGGAAATATGAAGCCGTGTGAATTCGGGAACTGAACACATGCAGACCAGTGCCTGTTTGATCTGATAGGGGCAGGAGGGTATCGGCGAATTGGCTGACCGCCGGCATCCCACAACTGTGAATTCATCATGTGGGTTGAAGTTCGGGTGCTAAAATATTTCTCCTCGGGCTCTGAACGTCCCCTCCTGCCCACATGCTACAGTAGTCCGTTTCCTCGTGCAACACAAGAAAAAGTTCGGGTCCAAATTCACAGAGCCTCTCTCATAATCGGACAACTCCGAGAGGAAGGAAAGGAAAAAGAAAAAAAATCCTACCCCTCAAAAAAAAAAACGGCTTCCTGGGCAATCATTTCTACTCTAACTAATTTGAGTACCATTTCCTGGAAGAAAAATTCTGAAACATGGAATGAGGGCACCCCCGCGTAGAAGAGAAAGCAAGAAGCCAGAAATCCGAAGCGATCATGAACTGAGGGACCCCAGATGAAATAGCTGGCCGGTAATCAGTGACACGAACTTCCCGCTGCGAGGCTTCTTTCGTCCTACCCCCAGCGTCTAAACTTGACTTCGCACCCGAGCCCCATCACTATTGAGTTCCTCGACCGACCATCACGGAGCAGTGTGAGACCCAGGCGTCGGTCTACAAATTCTCCAATTATGAGAACTTGAGGGAAATCTAGAGTCCCATGAGCTCGTGGATATTTTCCTTTGAGCCATCTGCCTACTGCCGGGAGCTGTGATGGTGTCGCACGGTTACCCCACGGTTCCCCAAGAGGTGGGGCAGCCCTTTGCGCTTGGGCATTCTCTCCAGAATACTTCGTTATGTTGATGGCTTACAAGGGTTCCGTGCGTCATACGCCGGGCACTGCCGTATCCCAAGACACAGAAGGCGCAAGGGAAGTGGGAAGTTCTAATACAGTACCGGTATCTATATATCACAATTTTGGCCCCCACCCTATGGTTACACTCATAAAAATTTCAGCCGAACCACCCCACCGGTACCCATACCCACACCCCAAGTACTGCCCAGTTCTGGGTCGATTCAGTGAATTCGGGCGAGTGACGACTGATGATGGAACCCTTCCATGGTGTATCCAGCTCACCATTGGGAAGCGAGTTCAGCAATACACGTCCCCTCCTTCCGCCCTAGTCTTAATCCCCTCCAAGCACCTCCTAGTACGGCGCACCCAAAAGGTACATTCTCAAATCCCACCACCAATCCCCTCTCAATCTATATATATAAGTTAGCCTTATTCTTCCCTCTCCCACTTCGACCACATAGACCAATTGGCAGTGTACCGGTCAAGCCTTAGCAAGTTGTCTCCCCCAAACTTTCTCATCACCTTTCCCAACCCTCATCCTCCCATTAATCGGTTTCTATTCAGCCATCGGGCATCACAACCGGAGCCAGAACCTTTAGTCACAAGCAACCGGACTTCAACTCGCCAGCCATGTCCGGCAGATATCCTGAAGGCATACCCGGGAACTCCGGACCTATTGGCACTCTCTCCAGGGGTGAAAGTACAGTTCCACAAACACCCATTTCCTCCTCCAACTCCTTGAGAGCCCTACCCACATCCCCCCCTGGCACTACCAGTCCATCTCCGCTCACCTGCCCTGTCTCTAGCTGCCAACTGGTTTTCAGGGGAGAAACGCCCCACCGGTACTTCAGGAGGCATCTCAAGCATCCCGGCCTCCACGGGCGCACAGGTGACGAGAAAGTTGTTTGGATCTTCACAAGGCGGAGCACGACAGACTTCTGGTGGCACTTGGTTTAGCCCCCCACTCCATATCCCATAGCATGAACTCCAAGGAGGAATTAGAAGTAGACCAGGCTGACGGAGTTGACATAACCGAATTGGTAGAGGAAAACAACGCGGAGAAAGAAAGGAAGTTGAGGGCTGCTCAATTCGAGTTGCGTGCCAAGGACATGGGAATAACCGGGGAAAAGTCTGTTGCTGAGAAGGTTGCAATCTGGGAGGGGATGTGGATTGCAGAGCAGACGGGCAACAATATCCAAGTTATTACCCTCCGCCCGCCACCCCCCGTAGGCTATCTGGATTATTACTGATTGGGATGGGGGGTCAATTGTAGTACAGTGCCGGGATCCTCTTAGATGCTGCCACCAGCGGGAATCAGTAAACTCTTCTCTCAAATTCTGTTCGTTACGTGTCATGAATTCTGCTGAGAGGTCCTACCTATCAAATTACTCTCCCTTTTGCTTTTCGCCCCGCCCCACAGAGCGCTTTCTATCACCTATATCGCACGGCGCGCTCATTCTGGTTAGATATTGGTTGGTCGTTATCGAAGGCATTGTGTTCATTGGTTGGGAATTGCTAGCGCAAGTGATTGTTATGGCAACGGCTGTTGCCTACCGCTCTAAATTTATTTTCACACTTTTTTCGCTTAATCAGCAAATATGCTTGATGTGGGCACAAACGTTGCCATTCACTTATTAACTTATAGCCTCTGGTCTAAGTTTCCTTTGTAATCCGGCTTATCATACCGTATAGTACTTGGTTTCCTATTTCATAAGTTAGCCTTAACCCAGTATCGTGGCGGGGGCGTAAACATCATATGTCCAAGCCCCATCTTGTGACTTGCAAGGGGAGACCACGAGTATGACATGAGGGCGCTGGAACTCTTGGGGAACGAGGAAAGGCTTGGAAAGGTTTCTTGTCGTGTTTTAGTTGTGTCTCAGGCCGTTGGAAAATTGAATATAATTCTCTCAGTGAACAATCAGTTGTTGATCACGATCCCACTACTCGTACTGTTCTGACTACCTTGGTCTAGGATGAAGCGACAAGAACATTCTGTTTTTCCCTCCCCCCCTCAGAATTTCCATATCGCAATGGCTGACAGGTTGTGGTCCAGTGCGGGAATTTCCTGCTGGTAAAGCTCTTTAGTTGCGGTTGTTGTACAGTACCGTATTCAAGCAACTAGAAAGCAATAATTACTCTTACTAGCAGTTCCCCCTCGAGACTTCGAGGGCATGTTCCTAGC